GGGGGCGGGGGCGGGTCAAGAGTTATTATTTATTCCCATTTTACAGATGAGGAAACTGAGGCTCTGCTAGGAAACTGGCTTGCCGAGTTCACATAGGCAGGAAGGATCTATGCCAGAATTCGAGCCCCAGTCTTTCTGGCTCCAGAGCTGGAACCTGTCCTGTCCTGTCTTCATGACACCCAGTCAAGGGGGTTAGCCTCGGCCTCGGGGGCACATGATTCCTGGGAGCTGGAGGCCTGGGCTCCAGAGGGGTGATGGGGCCAACCCCAGGGAGCAGCCCGGGCTGGGCAGTGGCCAGGAGTGTGACAGCACACATTGTCCTGGTGGGGTCACATGGCACTCCGCCCAGGGCAGCAGCTCCTTGTTTACCATTTCCTGTGTGTTTTTCCCTCAGTTCCCTCACACGCTCCCCAAAAGCCCACCGGCCAGCAGGTTTGGGGGTGATTAAGCCCATTTTTTTGAAGACACAGAGGCCAGGAGAGGAGAGGTGTCATGGCCAAGGACACACAGTGAGTGGAAGGCAGGGGCAGGTGAGCAGCTGGTGAGATCGACCACAGGTAGTGCCAACTGACAGGGCAGGGCAGTCACCTCTTTCTGGCTGAGCCGAACTGACCACAAGTCTTCCAGGCCTTGGCTGCAGCTGCAGAGACAGCCATGGCAGGAAGGCAGGTGGCAGGCTGACCTCTGCTGGCTGCCACCCACTTCTCCTCTGAGGCAGACCTGCCACCAGCTAGGGACCTTCCCCTCCAGAAACTTCCTGGCTTCTAAGCCTCCTCCCTTCCCCCACCTCTATGTGAAGTAGAACCAACATCATCCTCTTCAGATGTGCCCTGGGTGATGTGGGAGCGGATGTATAAACCTGGGGAGAGACACACGTGAGCAACAAAATCTGCTCAGAGTCAAGTGGACGTGTTGCAGATTTGACAAACGGCAACGTCAAAACTGTGCATATCATGTCTGCGTAACTGTGTGCACGAGACAGCGCCAGTCCCCAGTGCAGGGACATGCACACGAACACAAGCAGGTACAAACAGGGGCACGAGGCAGGATGCCCATGCAGGACATAAGTGTGCCCAGGAAAGCACAGGGCACACACACAAATCCACATCCACAGCACATGTGTGCAAACAGCCACAGCCACATGTACACACACTCGCTGCTGCTTATGTACATAATAAGCAAGATAAACATAGCCTCCCCCCCACCCCGGAAACACAGACCCACTCAATGAACAAACACAAATGGAAATGGACACAGAACAGGCTCACACACATGAACACAAGCATGCAAATACTTCACGCAGGCACATGGCTGCCAACACAGTACAACATGCACCCACTTACATGGGAACTCTTGCGTGCACACCCAGAGGAGGCCACGATCACACACCCGCACACACACACACACACACACACACACACACACACACACACACACACTGCTGACTGGTGTCTCGTAGTCAAGCCTCCTTCCCTGAGAACTCCATTTTCTCTAAGTGGGGCAGTCACCCCAGGAAAGTCCCAAAGACACCCTGAAACACAGCTGTGCCTCCATCTGCTGTCTCTCGGGACTGAAAATACCTTTCCATCTCTCTGGACCTAGACCCAAGGGAATCAAGGAGAAGCCATATTGGGCCCAGTTACTGGAGCTCAACGCCATGAGGGAGCTCACCATCGTGTCCCCACTCCCAGTGACACACTGCACAGGAACGGCTTTGCGTTACCAGGGACCAGAAGGGCCTGGCAAGAATACCCAGCACCCACTTTTGCTGGAGATCTGCCTTTGCACGACTTCCCTCACCCAGAATGCCCCTGGTCACTGTACCTGGGCACATCTGCCTCACCTGACAGCATCTGTGTTGCCCTAAGGACCAACCTGCCGTTGTCTACCACTCTCCTCCCAACCCAAAATTAAGTGCCGCAGGCCCGCTCCTGCCCCCAGGCATATCTGCCCCCAAACTGGCACACCTGGACACACCTGCCCCCACCTACCGTTGCCCATCGCCAGCACCTGCACATTCTCAAATTCCAGGGTGGTGTAGGCTGGGTCCAGCGCAGCACTGTAGTCAGCCATGTCCATGTCGACAAGGGTTTTGGAGAGGCGCATCCTCCCCTTCCACACCTCGGCCACTTGCCCTGCCCAGGACGCCCACCCTGAAGGCTCCAGGCCGAGCCCCGGCCCCCGCCCTCCACCCTCCCACGGCCTCCTCCCAGGTGCACTCTCTGCCTTCCTGCCTTTCAAACTGTCCTCTGGGAGGATCTCCCTTTAGTCTTGGCCTAGCCTCTGTGAAGGGTGGAGGTTCTGCTGGGGAGGCGGAGGGGGGGGGGTTAATGGTTAATCAGCTCCCCCACTGGATAGTCTGGGCGGGGCCCCAAGGATTTGGCTGTTTGTTGGTTTCTGGCTGACGCCTGGGGTGTTATTACAACTGTTGGGGCCTTAACTCACCAATATTCAGTTATGGACTCTGCAAGATGGGCAGGCTAGCTCACCAGCACTCATTTGACCCCTGACTCAGCCACCCTCCAAGTCACTGTCACCCCAAGTCAGGCATTCTAACTGACACACTCAGACACTGACACTCAGATGGCCTGAGTCAATGACGTCCCAAATCACTGACTTCTACCCTCAGTGCGCCGCCTGCAGAGATAAAGCCTGTCTCTGCCAGTTGTGGGGTGGGGGTGGGGGGAGCCTCATGGCTCATGAATTAAAAACCTAAACCTCAGGCCCCAGACACCAGTCTTCTGGATCCTGGTCCTGGGAGCTCCGTTCCAGTTTCCCACCTTCTCTGGGAGCAGAATGGACTGAAGTTTGGGTGGACCAGACTCACCTCTGGTTCCCCTCTCTTACTCCCCGTGATCGTGCAATGGCCACCATCAGCCCCCACAGCACCCAGCTGCTCAGGCCCAGACAGACGCCCTCTCCCATTCCCTGTGGCATCCTCCTGTTTCCCCGCCCCCAGAATTGGCAGAGACAGGCTTGCAACCCCACAGACCTGGGTTTACTTTCAGGCACCTACCACCTGCTAATCATGACTGGGAATAAACGACTCTCCTTTCTTAGCCTCAGTTTCCTCCTCTATAACATGCACAATCAACCTCAAGGTGGTTTGAGTGTTCAGTGCGATGGCATCAGTAAAACACCAAGTGGTGGCTAACACGTGTCCTTCCCATCTCCCGCACCCTGGCCCCCTCTTCTGTCTCCCTCACTTCTCTCCCTCCATCTCCTCCCTCCAGAGTGGACATCATGAGCACGCCACCTGAGCGGTGGCACAGAGCCTCACACTTGGGTCCCATGCTTGGTTTAATGCTCTGCCATTGCTGAAATTCTTAATGATTTCTGAACACAGGGCCCAGAGTTTTCATTTTGGACGGGGCCCTAACATGCAGCCAGTCCTGCCTGCCTTCAGCTCGTGGCTCACCCAGTTCTCACACCCTCCAGCCCTCATTGTCCTCGCTGCAGATATGGGTGGGTGAATTAATCAGTGGGTAAATGAAAGAGTGAGTGATTTAGAGACAGGGTGAATTAATGTGTGAATGAGTGAATTAATGAGTGGGTGAATTAGTGAAAGAGTGAATTAATGAGTGAATGCATAAATGGGTGGGTGAATTAATGAGTGGGCAAATCAGTGAGAGAGGTGATGTGTCTGAGGGGTGTGTGAAGGCATCCTCCTCATATTCTTTCAATTATTAGAAGCCCTTTCTCTGCCCCATGTAGCTTTGTTCTCCCCTCTACATCTTCCTCCCCCCGCCCAGCTCAGATAACTGGGGTGGGGGTGGGGGAGCAATTGTTCTGGAGGAGAAGAAAGGCTGGATTTGGCGTCAAGAGGCCTGGGTTTAGGAATTAGCTCTGTCACCATTCAGATAACTGCTTGAATCATATCTCTCGCAGGGTCTCAATTTCCCCATCTGTACAATGGGGAGCAGGTCCTGACCCACTTGTTTGTTGGTCAGGAGAAGCCCCTGAGGGACGGAGCGAGAGTGCCGCCCCACAACCCACACTTCGAGATTCCGTAAGTGCCTGAAGTGAGAAGACGTCAACTGCTGGCTCCGGCACTGCACCCAGACTCCAGCGGCCTTGGGGGTTGTGCTGAGCTGGGCTGGGGACCCTAAGGGATAAACAAGAGCAAAAGGAGGGGCAGCTCTGAGAGGGGCCTCGAAGGGCTGTCTCCAGCTCCGGCCACCTGTCTGGCACCTATGACAGGCCACACACGGCGACTCCTCTCACAATCCAGCAATACGTGGCCTTATACACACAGCGTCGCCTTGGTTCTAAGAGGCACATTCCACATTTCCAAAAGTGAATTGGGATCGAGGGCACGTCTGAGTTTAATCGGTAACAAAAACAACAACCTTTCAATCTCTCCAGATGACATCTTAGTTTGAATGGACTAAGGTCTATGGTCTACTTGGGTGAGCTACGTCATGCCCCACACATGACCCATTAGATACGAGAACTACCAGGTGGACAGCCCGCACATGACAGACAAGCTGCTAAGTATTGGGTTGTCGGGAAAGTCATGACGTATTTTTTTCTATGTTTTTCGTTGCAGAAGTGCATCATGACTTTTCCGACAACCCAATATACAAACCATAACGTACACACCTCACCACGTGCACAACACGCATGACCCACTGTCTGTGAGGCACATTCCAGAAACCTATTTCATACCCCATCCATGTCCCACCCATCACAACCTACCCCAAAAGTAAATCTACCCACTCGTGAACTCCATAAATGACCTAATCTATTACATACACAATTCGCCCTACCCTTTGCTGACCCCAAACAATATCTTCTAGACACACATCCTTCATATACACAACCCACCACCTATAAGATCTGCTGGCTCTGTGGTCTCAGGCACATTATTTTGAAGCCTGGGTTTCTCCTTCTGTAAAACGGGCCTAACTTATAGTTTGGCGTGACAATTAAATGAGATACGACTATAAGGTTCTTAGTCCTCCTCCCCCACCCCCTGCCCCAACCCCTTAGAGCAGCGGTTCTCAACCTTCCTAATGCCGTGACCACTTAATACAGTTCCTCATGTTGTGGTGCCCCCCAACCATAAAGTTATTTTCGTTGCTACTCTATAACTGTAATGTTTCTACTGTTATTAATCGTAATGTAAATATCTTTTTGTTTTCCGATGGTCTTAGGTGACCCCCGTGAAAGGGTCGTTCGACCCCCAAAGGGGTCGTGACCCATACAGGTTGAGAACCGCTGCCTTAGAGGGTAAACCACAGACCTTGAAATCAGAAAGATCTGGGTCAAAATATCCAGGCATTGTCAACTTTCCAAACTCCGTGACCTCAGGTTCTACCTCTCTCAGCCTTAGTTTTGGCATCAGATAAATAGGTTGATGCTTTTTTCACAGTGACAGTTGGGCATTAAATGGCCAAGTGTAGGCATCCTGTACAACAGTAGCAATTGTCATTGGTGGTTGACTCCTTGGCCCACTGGCCACATAATCTGTTGGAATCAGGATCCCTGCACAGGAGAGCTCCTGGAGACGGAATGCCCAGCCATGAACAAACCCTGGCCTCTACACCATCAGCTCAGCAGCCTCTCTTTATCTCTGCCCCACCCCCTTGAGTTGTCAGACCCCAGCTCCCAGGGGATAACAGATGACCTTAGAACTCACCTAGAGGTCCAAACTCCTTCATGTCGTAGGTGGAGAAACGGGAGGCCTCGCCTCGAGAAGGAAAGGAAGGGTGGCTTTGATAGCGCTGCCCTGGGCTGCCCGGTGTCAGGGGAGGGGTCGCCACAGACCCAGCTGTGGACAGGGAGCTCACCCCTCTGGTGTGGACAGTGGCTAAGGAAACCGCTGCACTGAACCACATCATTTTCCCTTTAAATTGCAATAATGGCTAATGTTGCTGAAAAGATTCTGTGCTGGGCCCAGAGTTAAGAACTTTCCACTCTTCTCAGTTTATCTGTCCTGCTTTTACAGATGAAAAATCTGAGGCTCAGAGAGTTGAAGTGACTTCCCGAAGGCCATACAGATCAGAACAGGAGAGGCTGTGATTTGAACTTAAATCTGACTCCAGAGTTGCGGGCTTCATCCGCTACATGCTACCTCCCTCCTGGAGTCCCAGAAACAAACAAACAAACAAACAAACAAAAACCTCCGAATTCTGGAACACGGAGCTGGTGGGCCCACCGTCATGTTATTGCCGGAGAGCTCAGGGGTCTGAGAAAAGAAGGGGCCTGTCCTGGGCACGTTCAAGTTCAGAGGCATCCTCCAAACCTCCCGCCTTCCCCCAGGCTGCCTGGTGTCTTCGCTTCCCCTGGGTGCTCACCAGCCCGCTATTGCCTGTCTCTCCTCCCCCATCTACTGCCCAGGGAACAGTGCAGGAACCAGGGACTTATCAAGACAAAGAACAAAAGTCGTGGGGGAAAGAAGCCAACAGCCATCTCCACTCTGGGGTAGGGCCCTTCAGTTTCGCCCCTTTGAAATTTCAAATTCCAGTTTGTGGACAAAGTCCTAACTTTCTCACAATATAGGTCCCCAACCACTGACCAAATTCCAGTTCAGGCAGCCAGCAGGCCCAGGGACGCTGCCTTTGGCAGCTCCCAAGATCCAGGGAGAGGGGTCCTGGGCCAACCTGGGGTCTGCCAGGCCATCCCTGCAGGCACATCCCACCCCACAGAGACCGTACCTCCCATCTGAGAGAGCAGCCCTCTTCCTGGAACTGGGATCTGACGCTTGCTGGTACCGACAGCAGATGCCAGGTAGGCCTCCTCCTTGTTTGGGCATCTTTTCTCCCCCTAACCGCCTCAAACACTGCTCCTACCACCCTCCTCACCCCGGGTACAGGCCACGTTGGCTTAAGCCAATCATGACCTCACAGAACTTCAAGGCTGCAAAAGGTGTCTCAGCCAAAACCCCCACATTTGGTGGATGAAGACACTAAGCCCACAGGGGACTGGCAGTTGGTTACAGGCTGTACCGTAGACTCAGGGCCCTCACTGAGCCCCAGAGGGGAGAAGGGACATGCTCAAGGTCATGCAGCAGCGGTGGGGAGCTTTGCCTTCGCAAGGAGGCCACCAGCTCTGCGAGGCCCCCTCGGCTCCACCATAACCCTGAGGGCCCTGGCACTGCCTCCTACAGACGCGGGATGGTGGTGTGTTTGCTCACTCAGGGACGGATGGCCCCTGGGTTGCCATGGAAGTACTTCTGAGAGGAAGATGCGGGAGCTTGGGGCTGAAGGCCAGTGGGTTTGGAAGGAAGCAACATTCATGTGGTTAACTGATAACTGAGCCCCATCCTTGGGCCTCCAGAAACCTCCTTCCTCTCTGTCCTCAGCACGACTAAGACGAACTTACCTGCCTGCTAATCATTGCTGAGCCTGTTGATTTTGCCTTAAAAAATTAACTGGGCATGAGTTTGCGGTTTGCTTCACCCCTAACCCTGAAAAGGCCGGGGTGGGCAGGAGGCCGCCCGGGGTTATGCAAGAGGCCGCTGTCCTCCCCACGCACATCCAGCGGCCTCCGCTGCTTGCCCTCCAAAGGGTAGGCTTTGCTTAAGAGTCAACAGTCTGCTTGTTTCCCCTGCTCTGGGTCCTGAGCAAATTTGCTCTGTTACCAAAGAGAGATAAAGGTAGCTGGGGGGAAGCTCTCCAAACAGGGATGCGAAGCGGCAGCTTTTGAGCTTGAGATTCTAGCATCCTGCAGTGTCAGAGCCGGGAGAGCCTTTAGGAGGAGGTGGCTTGGGGCTGCAGACTGGGTTCTGGGGTTCCCAGGCGCCAAGGGAGTGTGTGCCAGGCCCCGCTTCATCCAGTGCCCACCTCTTAATATGTCATTGGAAAGGTTGAGCTGGCTGCAGAAAATGAGAACTGTTAAACTGGTGGTCCAGACTCACCCCCTCACTCATTGTACCGATGGGGAGATGGAGGCCGGATGGGGGAAGGAACTCATCTAAGGACAGAAGGTCCCCCCCCTGGGGTCCTGGGCCTCCAGCTAGGATCAGGAAGACAGAGGCTCTCTCTCTGGGACTCAGTGATGTGTCCTGGACACTAGCGAACAAGATGGCACTGAAACGCCCTCCTCCACCGTTCACCCTCCCTGCCAGGGCTGGCTGGAAGCAGAGTGCCTGAGAGCCATCAGAAGGCCTAACTCAGGGAAATTCACCTGGCCTTGTGTCCTGTGGGCCCCCAAGGAGCAGCCATGAGCTGCAAACCAGAGGCTCCAAGTTATAACCCGTTTAGCCACGTCGCCTCTCTAGTGGCATCAGGCCATGGAGAAAGAAGCCAAGTCCTGCCCTGACTCTCTTGACCTCTCTGTGCCTCTGTTTCCCCATCTGTAAAGTGGGACTAACAATCTCTAACTCACAGGGTTGCTGTGAGGATCAAATGGACTGAGATGCATGCAGTGATAACCATGCCGATGTTTTATAAAGCGGTTTTTTGGGGGTGGGGGGTCTTTCCATGTGTTAACTCATTTATCCTCACAACCGCTCTGTGAAGTAGGACATGTTTTTATCACCATTTTCCCGACCTGAGGCACAGAGAGGTTGAGCCCTATGCCCAGGCTCACACAGCTTATAAGAAACAAGAGCTGGGATTCCAACCTGATCAGCCTGGCTCCAGCGTCTGTGCTCCTAATCCTGAGGTTATCCTGCCCTTCCAGGGCTGGCTCACAGTAAATGCTCAGTGAAAGCTGGCCAGTGTGACGATAAAATAAGCTGCATCCCAAGGCATATGAGGACTTTGTGCACGGGCTGTAAGGGCTGGGAGGCAGGGAAAGGAAGACATATCTCTGGGTTGGAGAGGTCAGGGGTGGATTCCTGGAGGAGGTGGCATCCTGGGCAGAGGAAATGTCCAGAAGTGGAGAACATGGTGGGTGATGGTGGAAAGGCATGGAAGCTGCTCTAGCCAGAGAGCAGGGCATTGTGGGAGAGGCTGACCACAAGGCTCAAGAGTTAAATCAGAGAGTATAGCCTGGACAATGATCAGGAAAGAAGCCAGAAGGACTTAGGTCTGAATGGGCAGGGCCTCCCTGCAGGCTGCCTCCTGCCAGGTGGCTTATGACTTCTGGGCTAAAGCTGTTGCTGTTGCTGTCCTGTTTATGTTCCTCGCTCCTGGTTATGATCCTGACTTTATCTGCAGAAGTGACCTTGAGAGTTTGATGGGGCCTGCCCAGCCCCTGTGGGGCCTGAAGGATGACGGGGAGGCCCTGCCGGGCCCAGGCCCTGCTCTTGGGGTGAGAGATGAACCCACATCCCAGAAACCACCCTTCTTGGTCTTGCTGCACCCTGTTCTGAGGGCTCCAGGGGTTTGACAGGAGGTCACTGGAATGAAGTGTTTGGGAGTCCTGAGACTCAGGCCAGGGTCACTGCGTACAGTTGCATAGGTTGCTCACTGCACAAAGGTTCTCTGGCTAAGGGCACAAGTGGAGGTGGAAATCCAGCCCTCATTCCACTTACCAAGCCAAGTGCCCATGGAGATTTGCCTGCCCAGAGGGAGGCGCCTTCTATTTATTTTCACAAAGGCTCCTTGTGAGCCCTGTCCCAGCTCTTTCCAGCCACTGTGTGACCTTGGACAAGGTCATTTGCCTCTCTGACTTTGTTTCCCATTTGAAAAGTTGTCTAGCATAAAGCAGAGATTCAACCCTGATGGTGAATTAGAATCACCTGGTGCCTTTAAAAAATACTGAGGCCCAGGCCCCATCACAGACTGATGGCTCAATCTGGGAGTAAGGGTGGGTGGGTGAGGGACATCAGTAGTTTTTAAAGTTCGAGGTGATTCTGATATTCAGCCAAGATTGAGACCCACTGTAAGAGGGCTTGGAATTTGGAGCTGGAAAGGTCTAGATGTGTACCCAAGCTCTACAACTTACTAGTTTGCAATTTCAGTGAGTCTCAGTTTGCCTATCTGTAAAACGGGGACAATGACAGCTTCCTCATAGAGTCAGAATGCCGATTCAGTGAGATGATATTTAGACAGTGCTTGGTACTGTGGCTGGCGCGTAGGGAGCTCCTAATTCTCGGTACCAATGACCATTATTTTGCTACTGATAAAATGAGACTGACTTTAAAAAAAAGGGCCCATGCATTCAGAGACTCGGAGTCAGGCTTTCTCTATTCCTCGAGTCAAGTCCTAATGCGTGGGTCTCAATCTTGGCTGCACACCTGCCATATTATTAAGGTATGTGTGATTCTTATTGTTTTTGATAATTTTTTTCCTAACTGGTTAAAAGTTTTACACTTATTTTTGAATTGGTACCACATCTACATGGTTCAAAATCAAAACAATATAAAAGGTGCACTTTGAGAAGCCTTGCTTCTGCCCGTCTCCACTGGTCCACTTCCCTCTTCACCACAGGTAACTGGTTCTCTTACTGTCTTATGAATCATCCAAGTTTTCTTTATGCAGACCAGGCAGCATCTAAGGTCATATATTATCACCCCCACCCTTACACTGTTCTGTACCTTGCTTTGCTCATTTCATAGCATAGCCCGCAGATTTTTCATTAACACTTGCAAACCAGCTTTGAGGAAAGAAAAGGTATTGCTCCCTTCACCGTTGAGGAAACTGAGGCTCAGATTGCTGAGTCAATGGTGTTTGAGCTCTCTGTCCCTGGCTCCAGAGACAATGTTTGTCCCCCTGCCCCAGTGTGGCCTTCCAGGAAGCCTGACGGCGAGCTTTGGAGCCTGGCCTAAATCTCTCCAGTGCAGGCCTGGTGGGAGGTGGCGTGGGGGTGGGCTGTCAGGGCCTCCACTGTGTCCAAAGTCACAGAATGGCTAAAGCAGGAAAGAAAAACATTTAAAGTCATCCAGATGGCAACTTAGTGAAGGGATGTCCCCTGGATGGGACAGATAGGTCCTGGTGGCCATGCCCTCTGGCAGAGTGACTCTCTGCCAGGAACTCTCTGCCAGCCTCAGGCTGTGCGGGTGGCAGAAAAGGGCAGAGGAAGCAAAGCAGAGAGGGAAGTGAAGTGTGGCTGATGGGAGAGGTCCAGGGGAGAGGAGACTGAGGGGATCCCATTCTTGGAAGTCAGAGAGGAGGATATGGAATTAAAAGTAGAGGGGACAGTGACATTTTAAGCAAATGTTTTCTGCTCAGGCCACCTCAGGGCTCCCTCCGGATTCTTGACCTGCTTCAGTTCACTGACTCACTGACCTTGGATAAGTCACTCGCCCTCTCTGTGCCTCAGTTTCCCCAAAGCAAAAACGAAGGCAATTAGGTAACTGGTCTTTAGGTAGCTTTGGAGCACCCCCCTCACCTTGTTGAGGAAACATGAATCCTGCCCTGATCAGAATGGAGTCAGCCCCATAAGGGCCCTGGACCTGCCTGGGTTGGAGGCTGGGGGTCCAACTCTCTATACTGCTCCAAAATCTGGACTCCATCCCTCCGTCCTGTGTCTCTCTCCTGCCACCCTGTCTTCCCCTCCAGGTAGATGTGGAGCCAGGACCATACCTGGGGGGTCCCGGGGGATGCCCTGACCCCAGTCTGACATCCTCCTCCTGGTGCTATGGGGTCCCACACAGTGGGAAACCTCTTCATCCTTGAGGGAGCTACCACTGCCACCCAGGCATCCAAGACCCTGTGAGGGCTGTGGGGCAGAGTTAATCTCTTAATACTGGTCACAATGTGATTTCAGGGATGGTGGGAGGTGGTCTCCATGGTAACTGCAGACCAATCCAGGACCCATGCAAGGAATTAGCCACAGGGCTCAGCAAGGGGGTCCTAGAAACCCAAACCCAAACAGGAATGGGAGACATAGTGGCCTGGACTCCTGGACTCCCTGGCCCTTCTGTTGTCTCTCTGGAGGGCTTGAGATAAACCATACCCCTCATACTGCTTCAGTGTTCTCCAGTTAAACTAGACAGAGCTATATTCACAGGGAGCACCGTGTCACCTTTCTCAGCCTCAGTTTCTTCAATCTCCAATTGGGGTGATAATCCTTAACCCAGAGGCTTTTCTAGAAGAGTGCAAGCTTCAGAGGCTGTCAGACCTGAATTTGAAGCAGGGATTTTCCCACTCAGACTGTAAACCTAACCCAGGCATTTCACTTCCGTTAGCCTCAGTTTCCTCATCTATACAATGGGCACAGTCACTATCATGCCAGACTGGTAAGTACTGACGCTCAGTGAATGTGAGTCTCCTTCTCACCTCTTTCTGAGCCCGTCCCCACTGCACATCTGCCCCCACCCCCAGCCACTTGCCACTTGCAGAATCTCACAGCCCCTGCCTTGTCTCTGGACTTTGCCCATGCCAGGTCTTCTGCCCACAGCAGCCATCACACCTGTCTCTTCAAATCCTCATCCTCTAAGTTCCATCTTAGCCATCTTCCTCTGGGCGGTCCTGCTGGCTCAGACAGAGTCAGGGTTCCTACTCC